TTACAGCAACATCTGTTAAGTATCATTGATAGACTCCCTTAATAAATTTAATGCTAGTGTTTAGTTTATTTATATTTAAAGTGCTTCAGATAGGTATTGAGATAATTGGAAACCAGTGAATAGACTTGGTTTTATGATGTCGTATAAATTGATGATTAACTTCGTTAATATCTGAACTGCTTCGACCAAGATTTTAATAGACTTTAATAAAGTTGCATTCTTTAATTAAAAAAGATACATAAAATAAGGTATTTAAAATAAAACTAATTACCACATACAGATACAATGTCCTAAGAATACGAAATACAATGTCCTGGTGATCAGAGTCCACTTGTTGGTCAGAAATTCATAGTCTCTAATATCTTATTCAGTGACATGGAGAAATCATATCAGTGCTTCGATATACCCGAGGTATGGAAATGCTATTACGAATATTGTAATGGCAAGCATAGCATACCAGATTAGTGTCCGCAATATAGCGTTATCAGAACAGAAGTGGTGGTGCCCATTTGACCGTCTATACAATCCTAATAGAGATAGCTCGTGTCTAAGTCTGTACCTACAAGTAATGCAGTTGTCTGGCGATATCAAATGACATGTCTAGATGTCGTGTCATTGTAACATTAAAAGATGCGTAGAATTTCTTCTATGTATTTTTATTCTTCAATAAAGTTTAGTTATTAGACTACTCTAAAAAAGGCTTCTAAGTTTCATAATGTGGTAGAAACTTTTTAAAAAACCTAATTTGGTAGCCTAGTGGTTAAGGCGTTAGACTTGCGATCAAGAGGTCGTGGATTCAAATCTTATTCTTATTTCTTATTTAAAAAAAAAGACAACTCCCGCATTAAGAATAAATCCTGTGTCGCGGGGGACTTAACAAACATACATGAAACGGACACAAAGAACACCCAGACTCAGAACAACAATTTGTGGATTACACAAAGTGTCGTCCCTTGTGGGGTTTGAACCCACAAAACTCGGCGTAATAGGAAGCGGCGTGGCGACCGCTTAAACCACTACGCCATCCGTGCAGCCATCCGACCAGTACACTACCGACGTGAACCCATTTCTAAGACAAGCAGTTTAGCTTAGCGGGAGGGGTTAACGGGTATACTAGTAATTTCGGTTGCTAGTAGACCTTTAAAAAAAAAATGATCCAAACTTATCAAAAACTGTGTCTGGCTAGACTGGTGATTGTCAGTGAGATGTTTATTTGACATTATAGTTTTCTTAAACATTTTCCTATAAAACCGTAGTATCTATTAGTTTATTATCTGTCTTTAATTTATGTGATGGGCCTATACATATCGTTAGAGGTCGTGGGTTCGATTACCGCTCAATGCTAATGTTTAATTGCATGAATATTTCAAGCATGTATTTGCATTAATGCGTTTGCAATGACTGTGTACATTTAACATGTGTGTACAAGAAAGGTATTTCAGTATATATATAAGTATTCTGGTACCTATAGTACAAGCTATGCTTTGTTTGGATCTAGATGGCGCTGTTTGATTTGACCGAGAACGTCCTTCTCTTTAAAATTTGATAGTACCTAACTAAGTCTAAGTATTGCCAAACGTCAAAAGTGTTAGCCACACTCAGCTGCACTTTCTAAAGAAAACTGGTGTGTCATTACTTTCTTTCAAGAAAGTTGAAACGGAGGAAATTATAAACGTTCTAATGTTAGAGGCGGAAGACGAGCAGACGGGTTACCTGATAGAAAGTGACCATCACCGCCCATGAACGTGTGCAACTCAGGAGTCAAAAACACGTTGCTAGCCTTCTACGTTCTTAGAGAATTGAAGGTCGTATCTGTCCGGGATTACCGCAGACGATAACATGTTCCACAGATTGGTCGTGCGAGGTAAAAAGTGTCTCAAAAAGCGCACAATAGTGAAGCGCCAATTATCCAGGTAATGAGGATGAAGTTGCTGACGGTATTAGTCCGAACTCGGAGCAATATATATGCGGTAGAAAATGCAGATTGAAGCCACATCTCTACGTAACGCCAAGGGATAATAACTCAACACAACAACAAGCCAACACATAATTCAAAAACTACAAGAAAACGTCAAAACATGTATCAAACTACCAACCTCTATGCAAATTAGTTAAGTATTTACAATTGCCGTACATAAATTGAAGATGTATTTCCTTTATCTGAACATAGTTCAAGGCACTTAGATATATCGACATGTCATGTAATGTTTTACTCTTCCTCTTACTGGGAATTGAGTAAGTAGCGACACGTGCACCATCGCTACACCATATGCAATGCATTATGTCACGATTTCAAATCGCGCTATTAAAGTTTGCAGAACGATTAGGGTTATTATTGCAAGCTCATTCCATCGATCGATGTTATTTGTAATAATTGTTTGAACCTTTTAAAAAAATAGTTGGAGAAAAAAAAATGCGCTAATCTCTTAGAAAATGCAGTATTATTCCGGAAATAAGCAGCAAAGCAGTTTGAGACAGTTAATACATTACAATAAGTGTGTGCATTACGTATAGATACGTTAGTCGACGATGCTTGATGCAGTATACCAGTAAATGCACTTAGCGCTAAGAGTAAAAAGATGCACCCGATTTATTTAATGGCATTGTGGGTGGATGCGAGCTCAAAATAGATACTATGATGTACACTACAATGCAGATTTTGCTGTAACTGACGAGTTGATGAAAACTTAAGCAATAGATAGACAAAAGAAATTTGATAGTGGTACTGTTAGAAATTTGAAATCACTAGATATAGACCTAATGTAATTATATTTTCATAAATAATATCACCAATATTACTATCATCATCATCATCAGCCTATCGCAGTTAACTGCTGGACATACGAGTATGTAGGCCTCTCTTATTGCACGCCACTTAGATCGATTTTGGGTTTCTCGCATCCAGCTCCTGCCAGCCATCTTGCGCAATATTACTATTTATAAATTATTATTTCAAACGTAGAATTGAAATATTATGACTCATACACATGACACATACTCGAAATAATGAAACAGGGGCGAAAAGTATCTAAATATTTAGAAGATAAGGACACTAATGCAAAAAAAATGTACCTATCCATACATCCATTAAACATGAAATCGGAAACGACCACTCGACTTCGCAGCTGCCCGTTTCAATGAAATACAAAATAATAGTAAAAGACTCTGGAGAAGCCGTGGAGCATTATAACTCGGCTAACAAAGGGATTATCTTGTTTGGGAACCTCTTGACTGGTATTCTATGTATCGTGTTACCAATTCAAGTTTTTTGTAGGTGTGGCTAGGGTGAGAATTCGGTGCCTTACAAAGATAACTCTGAAGTACTTTTTGCACCTTTCAACCATTGTGAGTTGGCGGTTGAATTGTTTCTGTAATATGAAATGTATTTCAATATTATCGATGGACTTTAAGACCAGTGTATTTATACACAACAATTCATGAACAAGTAGATATATGTTTATGAGGTATTATTTACATGTTTAGCTTAAATCTTTTTACACAAAATATTAGTAATTTTGAAGAAAAAAGAACTAGTCATAAATTACTGTTAACGTTTGTTCCGTTAAAATGAAGGAAGCAAAACTCCACACATTAATGTGAACTTTAAACTTCTTTACATGACCATTTAAGCAAACACGCTTTGTGCTCCAAACAAAAGCCCTAATAACAGTCGTGACCAGTACTCACTATTGACTTCAAATATACGATCTCAGCTCCGTATCGATTCTCTTTCATTAACAAATCATAGTTTTCACACGAAAGTACATGCTTTGACCTGGATTCTTTAAGCTTTGGGCAAGACAGTGTTATGTAAGGTTTCTTGTGAATGCTGTCACGAATTTTGTATCAGTAATGATTTTAAAGTTGTTATGCTTGAAAAGTATTTGTGTTTTCAATTAATAATGACTTGTCATTTTTCGTTAGAAAATTACCCTAAAAATTAACTTAAAAATTAAACTTGGGCACTCATTCTATATTAAACGGTAACATCGTAAGAACTAAGCAGTTTGATTTATGCTTATGCGGTTGAGGGTTCAAACCCATCTGGTATACTACCGACAAAAACTCACTAATAAAACAAGTTTTTAACTTTTCCCGAATAGAAATATGTAATCTAAATTGCTAGTATTCTTCATAAAAAGTGAATTGAGGAAGATAGAAGTTATTTATATTTACGTTTATACCTACGTTTCTCCAAATTCGATTTGTGATCGAGAACACCGACCTATTCTAAATGTGTCGAAATGAAATCGGATCCAAATAATGCAGTGTTATTAACGGTACTCACATGTCAATCTTTCAAAATCAACGCCAACCTAATGTCATTCTGTAATATTTTACAAGCTTGTATCAAAATTGACGCCCCGAGTAGATAATTCGTGTTTGTAAGTCGCATTATTGTCGTGACGAGAAACTGTTTTTTCTCCTTCTTGAGTTATACCATTTGTACCATCTTTTTTCGATCAAAGTTCCGTTGGTGACAGTTATATTTTTTGCTTTTGCTTATCAGATTCAAGATTAAGTGTAAGTTCGGCTTTTTATAAAACTTTTTTGCTACCCACTTAAATATTTGAGGGTCACAGATAAACGAAATGTTTCTCCGGTAGAAATTTTGCCGGTTCGTAAATCATGAACTGTAATTAACCGTGAAGATATGGAGTTTGGAGTTTTTTAAATTAAAGAGTCAGTCGTGGCCTACATTTTCAAGTTCTAGATTAAAAGTTTAAAAGTAATGATTTAAAGTTTTACGGATAAATCTAGATAGAAATTATATAATATTATATACTTTTTTAATTGTTGCTTTTCTTAACAGACATAATACCTAAGTAACTTAGTGGGATAGTAATATATAAAACAATATACTCTTTAAAAAAAATCTAATGCAACATCATCTGGCTTTAAGAACAAACGGTCCCACAGCCCATAAGTGGGCACGTCTTCACTATACTTTAAACAATGCCATACCTAAGAGTAAGAACAAAAAGACAAAAGACACTTACCATGTTTGTCAGCGGCGACGGCCACCCATAGCACGAGGAGCACGACACCCCCCCGCGCCATGTTAGGTGCGTACGCGCATCACCTAAAACAATAAAGAGTTGATCAATATTTGAATAAATGCTTGCCTTTGGTGATTCTGATTGAATGTACACAAATATCTTCCCTTAACCAGAAATATTTATTTTATATATAACGCACCATGGTGTGTCCAAATCTCTTCCATTTACTTTACAACGATAACGACTACAGCTCTGCTCTGTGAAGTTTTGTAGTTTATTCTTTTTAAGTAACTCTAATGCAATCTAATTTAAGTACATTGACAATGAATCTACACATATTTAATGCAAAATTAAAATTATTTTCAAGAACTTCTTATTTGCACATTTTAAAAGTATACCTACACCATACTTATTATTTGAAATTGTGAATGTAAGCTACAAACGTGTTAAAAATTTCATTCTTGCTCATATGTGTGAATTTCGGAGGAATATCCAGGCCTTCTTTAAAATTTACAACTGCAACTAATATTAATCACAAGCTTTTCGAAGAAAACAAAAAACCGTCATATTTCAATCATGTAAAAAGTTTGAAACATCGATGGGCCATATTTCTGATCATACAGCAAAGTACAAGCCCACCGCATCATTAGCTAGAACACTTTTGTATGGCACCGCACCGTGACTAATAGGACCCTTTAGGGCCATTTTTGGGGAAAAAATAAATGGACCTATTATAGACCGGTAAGTAGAGGCTTGTGGTAAAAAGCCGATTTGGTGTGACGAAACATATTTTATAGAAATTGGACATGTTGTGTGAATAACTTCTTGTCGTAACGCCCAATATTTTTTGTAAAAACTTTTGAATATGATGAAAGAAACCGCAAAGACAAAGCTAATATTATTGTTGTTAATATTGACCATCTTTACAATAATAATTACAATTTTGTTAGTTTTGATCGTTGATTGAAGAATCGATTAGAAACTGTAAAAAAAAAATTGACACAAATTTAGGGATTAAGCAGAAATAGAACTCCAAAATATCATATGTATTATAAAACTATGTTATTTAATTAAGTCAATGTAAAGTTAGATTAGAGAAAATCTTGGCAATCTATAATTATTTAATATTATGTTTATCGCTGATTATGCCATAAAATGGAGACTTTAATATTATAATTTTAAGTAATTAAACACTCACTAAATAAGGCAATCAACCGCTACCGGAGTTCATAAAGATGCGATGGAAATAAAAGATAAAACGATACAGATTTGGTAATTTTAACGAAACAGACGATTTATTTTTCGTAAGACTAAGATGGGAAGCATATACGATATTACGATAAAAGTAAGAAAATAACTGCACTACACATTAAGCAATGAAATAGTTAATATCAAATTATTAACCTGACACAGAAGAAGAATTATAGAATTAAGAAGATGGATTATAGAAAATTAAATACTCAAGGAATCCTTGGACAGAAACTGGAATATACGCAAAATATTTATCCAAATATATATTTCGTGTAATTCATTAAATAATAAAAAACACATCAATGAACGTTATAAAGTATAACATAATGAAAAATATAGCTTTCCTATTTTGTCATTAATGCATTATCTGTGTATAAAATAGACTCGCAAAAACAGAAATAGATTTTGTGGGCGAAATGCAAAGGACTGGACTGGTCAACCTCTTTTCAACATTATTTTATTAACTAGGCAAGTCATAATACCAAGTATAGTCAAGGTAGCCATAACAAAAAACAATGTTTGGTAAATAATAATGGAGAAATTGTAGAAACGTTAAAATATAAACTAGACAATAATGTGAAAGAAATAGTGTGCTAGAATCCAAAACAAACGTAGGCACTATTCGTACAACAATGTTAGGAACAGCATTCCAGCAACATAAAACCTTCTATTGGATTATTAAGACGTGCAGTGTTATTGCTTTGCTACAATGTACTACCAATAGCTTTGACTGTTCACCGAAGCATTTCGAATAGAATGTCAAATAAGTTCTTGTGATACATTTGATTAATGGTAATAACATTTAAATGAACGACTTTTAACATATATGAAAGCTTAACTATTTTGTAACAAATTATCAAGTTATGATAGTGTTAAAGATACTTTGTAAATTATGTTAGATAAACTAGGAAATATTTGCCATTGATTATTGTTAGAAAAGTATAACCAAGTTTAAAAAAATGTGTTTATAATTTATTTAACAAAAGTTACTCATCATATAGAAGTTGTCTCAGTTTTAATTAAAATGATACACGATTTAATTTAGGTGCTTTTAAAGCCGTGGTTTGAAAATCTTTATTTAAACATTCACTGTTATCGTTTTGACTATAAATACAACTGCATAAAATTACTTAAAGTTTAATATACTTGAATAATATTCAATTTAGACACAATCTCCTAATAATAAAGAAAATGAGAAAATATTAGAACTAATTTGAAAAGTAATAGCGACGCAATAATCGCTATCTTAAGATTCTCCATCTAAATCCCACTCAGTTCATTAACGAAGCCAAGCGTTGGCTGAAGTCTTCTTAAACTAAATGTGGGACTCACTAGTTAGCTATTAAAATAGATCATAATGGTGATACCGTTTAAGATGAATCAAAAGACGGACAATCAAGGTGAAGCGCTGGCCCAAATTCTTAAGGGCATTGTGTGTATAGGACTGTTGACTCATAATGATGTAGCTTTTAATGATGAACTATCAACTAATGACTTGAAAGTTCAAGTTAAGGTAAGAGTGGTTCAGCTAAGGTTAAAGTCAAAATTAGAATTTTAGATATTAGTAAAAAAAATTTTTATTGATTTCCGGCTGAAGTTTTAATAGAGGCTTTTAAGCTGTGAATGTGACATACTTAATAATGTAATTAGTTAAAATTGTTAGGAAGATATCAGAAATAATACGACTCAGAATTGAAAGTAACTAAATAAAAAACCTAAATGAAAGAAATAACTTAGAATCTCAAAATTTTATAATTTCTCTAACTTGTCTAGTTTGTTTGTTTAATTAAATAAATGATTGAAAATTGAATTTTAGAATTCGTTAGACAGGGGTCAAGCAAATTCTGAAATTATCTTTTACATAAACTTATTTATATTATTAATGTCACTTGACAATAATAATACGTATTATTTCAAGTATTCCAACACAAATAGTACAATAGCAAACTAAGATTTATAGTATTGTGATTTTGATCTGATATCTTAAATTAATGTGCCTACTTAAATGTATTTAGTTGATAATGATCTACGAACATTCTAATTCAGTTTAAGGTACCTAGAACGCTTATTAGTGTCAATAGGCACTCAATGAATTTAAAATTTAACAATATCGAATTGATTTGCTCACGGCTATTTGCATAGTGTATCGATTTAATTAACGATTGACAGCCATATCACTATATAGGCCAGTTGCTGTCCCAGTCCTAGACCATCTCCAGTTACAGGATAGAGAGATATGGGTTCCTGCTACTGTAGTCTATGCCCATTTTCAGAGATCCCTAACACTTAGTTCATGGCCTTATCTAATTTTCCCACTAAAATATATCTTCTTTCTTCGTTCCGTCTGAAAATGATAGTATCAAAGAGGGTTGTCACCAGGTGAACGGTCATAAAAGATACCACCCAAAACTCTTTGCCACTATACATATTGTACCGATCCCCAATAGAATTGACCTCAAGATAAATTGGGAAAACAACATGAAAATGATGATCGTTATGATGGTGATTACTTGAACACTAAGTATATAATATTGAATTAGAATAAAAGCATTCAACATGTAAACTATACTATTGGTTTGATTAAAATAAACCAATAGGGACCTTAATTCCCAAAAGATATAAAATACTTTTGCTTAGTTCAATATTCTTCAATCTTATTGACAAAACAACTTAATTAACAAACGTATTGCTACTTGTGTATCTTGTTTATTTATCACTTAAATAATTTTAATGGCACTTATGGAATGTAACAAAAAGCTTAAACGGAGTCCGCTACTATCTTGTAGTCAGGCCATGACGTATCGAAAATCAGGTTTAATGAATTGTTCAAACATCCTCCATCAATAAGAAACATCCAATGATTAGCTGAATAAGATGAGCATACAAATTGTAAGGTTACAAGGTGAACCCATATTACTTAATGTTCTAACGTTAATAAGGTAGGCCTCGTACGTGGGACTGATTTAAACTCCAGATAAGATGTCCTATTTTCTATTGCGACATTTTGTCTTGAGTTTATACTTTCCCTACTGGGTGACTCTCACAAATCAGATAATTCGTTTTATCTTTTAAAGTTTCCACGTAAATTTAACTTATGTTTTATATTGCTCTTAGCGTACAAGTAAAGAGCTCTTGGACTTCCTGACAACCTCCTACTATTTCTGGCTATAAAATATCATTATAGTGAGGTTGCAGAATTGATATTTATACTGTTCCTATTAACGGCTGCTAATCTATTGTGCCTTATACGTTACTGAATCTTTGATTTGAAAGATATTAACATGCAAACCTAGATTTGAAGCAATGGGCGTAACCTAGCTTTAAAATATAGATACTCTTGTCATCGAAAGAGAAATTTACAACTTATTTCCTGTAACTTTACTTTTAGGTGCCTATTAATACTAAACATTGAAAGAAATCATTTAAATTTTATATCGATTTTTGTAGTGACTTTAAATAATACATCTGTAAATAATCTTATAAGTTCTATAAACAAAAAAAGCTTTTCCAGAGAATTCGTTAATTAAACATCGTACTAAGTACAACAGACAGTACTGAAACTAAAATGTATATTTTATATTCACCTTTCCTGTAAGTAAACTTCATTTTTATTGAACAAATATGTTTGCTAGAAAATTGACACACGAAAAGTTATGTACTTAAGCAAATTTGCGTAACACTACATGAACAGCATAACAATAATTAAAAACCACTTCTAACTTTGCATTTGGGTATTCCACGTGAAGTACTTAATAGAAATAAATAGGTGTTCACGATTTAACAGGATAAACTGTATGTTACTGTTTTCCA